GTAAAGTAATTTTTCTGTTGAAACTTAGAAATAATTATATAATAGATGTATATTAAGTTTAGCATCAACCTAAATATGTGTTTGACATTGACACATTAAAAAAAAGAATCGTTTATCCAATGACTATTGTCAATTTGATGATTGAAAATGATAGGAAAACGATTGTTATAATAATTTTCAGACAAATCTTTACTTACAAATATAACTGTCAAGTTGACAGTGTCAACCAAACCAATATAATTAAGAATATTCGTATAGAATTTTCATATTTCTATTAGGTTACTTGAAACTAAAATAGATTTTTATTAACTTTAGAATCAACCAAAATATATGATTGACATTTATTTGTGTTTGACATTGACATGTTAATAAAAGAATCGTTTATTCAATAACTATAGTCAATTTTATTATTGAAAATGATAGAAAAGTGATTATTGTAATAATTTCCAGACAAATCTTTACTTACAAATATAACTATGAAGTTGACAGTGTCAACCAAAAAAGTATACTTAAGATTATTCGTATAGAATTATCATATTTCTATTAGGTTACTTGGAACTAGAATAGATTTTTATTTACTTTAGAATCAACCAAAATATGTGTTTGACATTCACTTGTGTTTGACATTGACACATTAAAAAATGAATTGTTTATCCAATGACTATTGATTATTGAAAATGATATAAAAGCGATTATTATAGTAATTTCAAGACAGATCTTTACTTACATATATAACTGTCAAATTGACAGTGTCAACCAAAACTATATAATTAAGATTATTCGTATAGAATTATCATATTTGTAATAGGTCACTTGAAACTAGAATAGAATTTTATTAAGTTTAGAATCAACCAAAATATGTGATTGACATTTATTTGTGGTTGACATTGGATATATCTAAAAACGGTTATCCAACGTCTACTGTCAATTGTTGTATTGTAAACGATAGAAAAAAGATTATTATATCAATTTTTAGACAAATCTTAATTCATAAATATGACAGTGTCAACCGAAAAAAATATAACTAGGATTATCATATTTGTACTAGATTACTTGAAACTATGTGTAATTATATAATAGATTTTTCTTAATTTTAGAATCAACCAAATTATATGTTTAACATAGATACATTAAAAAAATTGTTTATACAACGACTATTGTCAATTTGTGTATTTACAAATCTTGAATAAACATAACGGTTAAGTTGACATTGTTAACCAACAAAAGATATTCCTATAGGATTATCATATTTGTATTAGGTTACTTGAAACTATAGTTTAATTATAGAATAGATTTGTATTAAGTTTAGAACTAACCAAAATATGTGATTGACATTGACATGTGTTTGACATTGACATATTAAAAAAAAAATGTTCATCCAACGTTGTCATCGAAATTTTTAGACAAATCTTGACTTATATCAATAACTGCCAAATTGACAGTGTCAACCAAAAAAAAATATAAGTAAGGATATTCGTTTAATTATAGAATATATTTGTATTAAGTTTAGAATCAACCAAAAGGTGTAATTGACATTTACTTACATTTGACATTGACATATTTAAAAAAATATTCATCCAACGTTGACAACGAGATTTTCAGACAAATCTTGACTTATAAATATAACTGCCAAGTTGACAGTGTCAACCAAAAAAAATAATATAAGTAAGGATATTCGTTTAATTATAGAATATGTTAGTATTAAGTTTAGAATCAACTAAAAGATGTAATTGACATTTACTTACGTTTGACATTGACATATTAATTGACTTATATCAATAACTGTCAAGTTGACACTGTCAATTTAAAAAAAAACTGACAGATGCAATTGCATATTTTATAGCTGTGTATATAGTTGGTACACCTGATATATATTTTTGTCTTATATCACATAGTGTGAATGTGATTGCATTATTATATTATGTTTAGAAACACTGAATCAATTGGAAGTTAAATTAATTTAAAAAAAAAACGTCTGCTCAGCCTGCTGGAAATAAATGCACGTTACAGCAGAATACCATAAATACATTTGCAGTGAATCCATCTCCTCCCAATTTCCATCCAGACTAATGCTATGCACCCTCCGCGTTTTCTATTATTACCAGTATACTTCTTTTGCGGCGGATACACAATTTAATCATCCGCGCGCTTTAATATCCGCGAACCGGAAGTGGTTATTTAATGCAGTTATATAAATACTCGTCCATCTCCACCGATGTAACACAACTCTCAGGGTGTGTATGTGAAAGAGAGAGAAAGGTCGTCGATTCTCAGAACTTTTTAATATTGCAGCAGCAAATTTGATTAAATTGGAAGAGTTCCAGCGAAACGTATAAATCACGGTCGTTGCAAGCCGCATCGGGTGTCAAGTGATGGCGGATCGATAAGAAAAATGAAGTAAAACCGATGACGCCCTTCGAAACGAATCCTTTTTCAGTGTTTTAACGGCGAAAGTGCTCCTCTTTTTCTTCGAGATGACTCGACGATTACTTTCGACGCTGAAAACACAAGGACTCTTCCGCAGCTCAAAGGCATCCTAAATTTAATGACCTCTATCCCCCGTAACTCATAAAAAAAAAGATACAACCATTCGATGGAGTGATTTTTATTACACCGCATCTTCTAAGAGCGTTTTTATCGACAGCTTTTGAACCGAATCGTTTTCGATCAAGCAAAAGAAATAAAAATACTTTGAAGTAAAAACGCATTAGTTTTCGCTCTAATCTAAAACCTAATTTTAGTTTAAACAAAT